GTCAAAGAAACTATGCTCACCTTCCTGCTTACTCGGAACCTCGTCAATCGACAACAACATGGATTTCTGCTGTCTAAATCCCGTCAGACCTGCCAATTTCAGTTCCTAAACCATGTTACTCAACAGATTGACAACAAGCAAGCACTAGCCATCATCTTCCTAGACAGAGTACCACATAAATAACTCTTGATGAGGCTGGAATAACACGGTATCTCCGGCAAACTACACACTTGGTTCTCATCATATCTTCCAGCTCGCTCACAGTCCGTAATGGTTTGGAACTTTATGTCACTTCGAAAACCAGTCAAACGTGGCGTAATTCAAGGAAGCGTTTTAGGCCCTCTACTTTTCCTGCTCTGTATCAGTGACGTGTTCCAGGTTTTATCCATGTGACACCCTGCCTCTCCGCCGACGACATCAAAATTGTCTTCCCATTTCATCTGTCAAACTTCCACACCGCCCTCTCCCATATACAATACGCCGTAAGAGCCCTAGCTGCATGGGGCGACACACGGAAGTTGGCATTCACACCAGCTAAATGCGTTGTTCTTACATACAGATGCACCATGCCACCCAATACCTTAATGCTACAAGGCACGCCATTAGGGAGCTGCCTAACAGTGCGGGGCTTAGGCGTGCACTACTCCTGTTCGCTGACCTTCGCGGAACAAGTAGTTTATTCCGCAGCTAAAGCAGCTCTCTCAATGGATACATCCTCAAAACCATGACAATACAAGAAGCTAGCACTGCGCTCTACGAAACATGTGCCCGGCCTCTGCTAGGGTACTGCTGTATAATATTCACCAACCTAAGAAAATGCGACAGAATAACCTAAGAAAAGGCTCAGCGTGCCTTCACAAAGCGCCTCCTGGGGCACCCAAGTCTGAGCTACCGTGATCGATGTAACACACTTAAGCTCGACCCGTTATGGCTGCGCCGACTGAAAACCAACCTTGCTTTCCTATATTCGCTTATTAACAATCCCAATGGGAGCCCACTAACCCCTATCTCATACTCATTTATCACGTCGTACCCCCTACGTGATAAACCCCACTCCATTATCCTACCAAGAGAGCACAGTAGTATTCGTTCCAACTTCTAACTCTACAGATACGCACATGTGTGGAATAGGTTATCTCTCACAATAAGGGCATCTATGAATATAAAACGGTTCCGCTTCTCCATTAGCAAATACCTCTGTCACACAAGTTTCCAAATTACTGAATATCAACTGTCCTGAAGACGAGTATTTTGAAACCGTACCAGACCACTTATAATCGCCTCTTCTTATCTTCCCACACTATCACCTTCCGGACTCCTAATATTCCTATCTGCTTGCTTCGTCCAACAACCCCTTAAGTCTTCCATCGCCTAGGCATCAGCCACGGGACACCAAATGCCTCTGCACCATTATCCTTCTTTCCTCTTATCTCCGTCACGTATTCTGCAGTGATTCGTTGTAGGCTCCATATATCTTTGCGCATATCCGGAGCTACAAGGAGCCATTCCTTGTTTCTCTATCATATAATCTTTTAGAATGTCTGTATCACTTAACTTTGCTGGCTTGCTGATGTATTCTGTGACACTGTAGATACCCAGTAATGACCAAGCGTCTTATCCGAATGACTACATCTGGCCACCAATAGCTTTTCCTAGCGCTACCATCTGTGGGCCATCTTAAATTCAGCCTCTGTTTAGAAGCGACTAGTGCTCGTGGGTTCCAAGCATCTCTGCGCATATCCGGAGGTTGTGCAGAGCTACTCTCTTTTACCTCCAACCTTCATTCTTTGGCACTGCCTGCGTCACATACATTTGTTGTCTGTTGACCTATTCTGGGACACTTAGGTATCTACTAGCCGCTAGAAGGCTTCACCCCAGTGCCATTGCTAGCCGTCGATACCCTCTCTCCCTTAGTACCATTATCAGTTCCTCGTACTACCTACGTCACCACTTTTCAGCTACAGCGAGACATTGTAGGTAGCACAGACCCTTGCGCCAGGAGTCACTCCTTAGCTCACCAACACTTACTCTCTTGAATTGTTTGCATCATACACCTTCGCTGGTTTGTTGACTTCTTCTGTCACTGTAGGTATCCATTGGTAATTAGTAGGCTTAATCCGGATGCCTTTGCTGGCCACTGATACTCTCTCTTAGCGCCACTACCTATGGCTCTTCTTATCTTCCTCACCACATTGCAGTCATTCACCGTATGCTCCATGTCCCTTCTGCGCAGACCTTGAGCTTGCTAGGATAAACTCATCGTCTCTCCATCATACACTCTTATAGAATGTCTGCATCACTTACCTTTGTTGGCTTGTTGATGTATTCAGTGACCCTATAGGCATGCACTAGTGACCAAGCATTTTATTGCAATGGGTACATCTGGCCACTGATAGACTTTCCTAGCACCACCATCTGTCGATCGTCTTAAATTCGGCACTTCTGTTTAGAAGTAGCTAGTGCTCACAGGCTCCATGCATATGCGATTATCCAGTGCTTCTTAAGAGCCACTACCTATCTCAATAACCTTTATTCCTTTAGAACATCTGCATCCAATCTTTCCGCTGCATTACCGCCAATTGACCTTTAGATCTCTCTCGCGGCAACCTACTTATTTTTCACTTTCTTATTCTGCGCTCCCTATAGAATAACGCTAGCTACTTGCTGTTCATGCACCTTGCAAGTACCACCAATATTCTACCCCTTCTTTGCTCTCTCCCCACGCAATTTTTGGCTCATACTAAACCGATACTTCGTAGATTCTTAATGGTACAACGCTCTTGTCACCACGTGGACGTTAGCAATCTACCCATACGGCTAATGCTTCTATAGGATATTCAAAAGACACCTTCAGCATAATCCTTGTTGCACAGTGTGCATGCTTTTGTCTCAACTCCAAATGTTGTAACATAAGACTTTGACAATGGTTAACTCCACGCCTGTTCTTGTGGTCTTCTCCAGCTTGTCCCACACTGTCCCTTTTTCCGCGGTCCGGAACGTCTTGGAGACCTGAGATTGGACTGAGGTACAGTTTTCGCCCAAGACGGACGCAACAACCAACAACGACTTACCTGGAGCATGGCTGAATACCAAAAGGATCGAACTACAATCACCACAACCCTTGTCTAGTATTGAGAGCAGGACAAATTTTCATGATCCCATAAATTATACATCTGAAAAATCCAGACAGCAGAAAATTTGAGCTTTTGCTCACCTGGACACACAACAAGATGACTATTCGCGACGTTCCCCTCTTCAACCGGCCTCAACCATCATGGCGGTCCTGATCAAATTATCTGTCTAACTAACAGAAAAAATTAGAAGCCATTTAACTGCGAATAACCGATTATGAAACCAGTTGTCAAGCGGCTTTTCCAGTTATACATTAATGTTCAAAATCCTTTACGGCATTGCTGCAGGACGTGGTGGGTTTTCGCCTTGCAAGCGTTCTCCCTATAAAAAGCCACAAATGTCTGTTTAACAACGTTGCGACGTGGCGGATGTGACTGGCCACTGAATAAATTCATTGCCCACAGCTACATACTGGCAAGTCGACTAGACTCATATTTCTACTTTTCCCGACACATGCAAGAATATGATACTCTCCGTCAACTTGCACCGTTTCATCGCACTTATAGTGTCTTGACCGTTTCGACTACACACGATTGACCCCGAAGTATCGTCGTGATACACAACTGCCCATAAACTTTGATCATGCCTAATTTGGTGTGTCTCTATGAATTTGAGTATAAACTATTTATTTATTTAATTATTTATTTAAACCTGGCTTTTACACCCTAATGGGCTAAGCGAGGTAAGGAAACAGCAAAGATAGGTGAGGCAATGCGAGGCAAAGGCATCAGGATGACAACAAGCAAGCCAAATGAGGTGCGAGTGGGACAAGTCGCTCAAACAAAAGCGTATCATCGCATTAAAATGGCTTTGGGGCAAAAAGTGAGGAGGAACCGCAATCTAAGCAGGGACAGGTAAAGGGATCAGTGGAAGGACCAAACATGAGTCAGCATACCACAGTCATCTGGCAACTGTCAGAAGACAGGCGATACCGTTTAGACGAGACCGGTTTGGATTCCTTAGGAACATAAAAGTCATTATCAAGTCGCCACGTTGGCGTCGATATTGTCTACTATAGACCCCGAGGGTTTTCAGCCTCAATCGGTAAGGAAGATGAAACAGACCCATTCCGTTCTTGGTCGCCTTTCGTTGTAGCAGTTCAGCAGCGGTGAGGTCATGCTTTTGCCATGGCAGCCAGGCGTGGATGGCATATTTAAAATGAGGCCGAACGTAGGCTTAATGCATCTGAGAAGAGATGGGAGAATCGAAGCGCCCGAATGCCCTCCGCAAAAGGCCAAGGTTTTGGTTAGCTTTATTGGAGGCTTTCTCGGCCTGACGGGAACAGCCCAGATCTTCCTGCACTATCACGCCTAGATCGCATTCCGTTGAAGTGCGCAGCAATATTTGATCCCCAGTCTGTATTCGCAAGTAGTTTTATGACGTATGCTCAACACCTTGCGTTTTGTAGCGTTGAACTAAATCGGGTTCTGAGTCGACCGTTCGTAGACCCTGTCAAGCTCACCCGGAAGTGCTGAATTGTCGCTGATTGTTCTAATGGCTCGCCATACCTTGAGATTATCAGCGAAGAGTAAGGAGTTGCAGGTGATTACTGCCACTAGATCGTTTAGGTAAATCAGGAATAGTCGTGGACCAAGTACTGAGCCCTGGGGCACTCCGCACTTAAGGTTGATTGGGTCAGAGCTGACACAGCGAACTCTTACATCCAGATGTCGTTGAAGCAAAAAGCTACCTATCCAACCGAGGATTGGGTCACCAATTCCACAACACTGCAGCTTGTGAAGGAGGATAAAGGGGTTCAGACAGTCAAGGGCCTTTCAGAAGACTGGAGGTACTGCACCAACACCTAAGCCGCTGTCAACGGTCCCAATCCAACTGGATCTAGCATGTAGCAGCCTTGAATTGCAAGATCAGTACTTGCGAGATCCATGTTGTTCTCGTGCTATGATATGGCGTTTCTTCAAGAAGTTCATCAGCGCTTCGGCAACAATCGCTTCCATGATTTTGGAGATCACCGGAAGTAGTGTTATCGGGCGATAGTTGGACGGATCTACACGACTTCCCCCCTTACGAATGTAAGTGACGATGCCCTGCTTCCACATTGTTGGCACCCGCATCTCATCGAGGCGTCGTTGGAAGAACTTGCAGAGTGGGTCCTCCAGGTTTACAGCAGCCAATTTCAACGCTTTTAGACGATTATTATCAGCGCCAGAAGAGGTATGCTCCCGCAGGGCAATTAGACTTTTCATAACATCCACACTCATAAACACAATGTGGCTAAGCCCTGGAGGTAGCACAACGACCGGGAACAGTGTATGCGGCGATGTCGTGCTCGGGAAGTTCGGGCGAATTGTTGACATAAGGCGTTGGCCGCCTTGGTTGCGGTTTCTGAGATTCCACATAACCTGTGTAAAGCATGAATTCCTCGCTGCACTTTGCGGAGCTTGCTTATGTGTCTGTACAGGAACTTGGGGTTAGAAAGGAAGTTCTCAGCTCGATGCTGTTGGTGCTGTATTTTATCTTTGCGTACCAGGTTTACGCAACGATGCCTTTGGATAGTGTAGGCTTCCCAAGTTTCGGCACTCGATGACTCCTTGTATCTTTGCCAGAGTAAGTTCCTCGTAACGATACGCTTGCGTGGCCTGATGCCTACTGATTACATATGACATGGTACCCGGTATAGTATGAGACAATTACGTATCGAACTGGTTGCTGATGTACATTGGGCTCGATAACCCGGTGACGTACCTGTGAGAGGCGATAACAAGTATGAGGTCAAGTGACAGTTGCGCTATAGGAAAGGTAGCTGGAAAGGTGCACACGTACGCCACATGGGAACGGAGGATGAGATGATTGACGTCAACACCAATTCTAATATCCGCGGCATTGTGAAGAGCGTGTCTAAGGACGCACTCTACCCGCAATGCGTGGACAGTAAAATATCGTGGGCCCTTAAGGTGGCCCTTTTTCGCGTTCCCTTGATGTAAGCCCTAAGGAGGGCTAACGTGGCGTTCCCTTGTTTGACGTCATGGAAGCGGATGGTGCGGCTGAACATGATGAGGGTGTGCAGCCTTAAAGCATATCAATATATATATATATGCATGTTTACCGGACGGTAGTTTCATGTTGTGCACGGTCCGCGCATGGTGTAGAGGGTACTGCGGTCGCTGAAGGCAAGGACACATCGTGGTGCGTTCCAATCTATTGAAGGAAAGGTAGAAGAAAAGCCACGCAAACTTACTTGTGAGTGTGGCTAGATACAGGAATGGCGGAATGCACATGGCTGACGTTGCTCGCATGGCAACCGAGGAAAAATGTGGCAGATTACGTAGGTGGAAAACGATGCAGTAACCAAACGATGAGTAAACAGAGAAGCTATATCTACCTACGGAAAGTTCATGGCGGTTTGGAAAACATGTACATCAGTTACCAGTGAGGACCTCTGTCAATGGGAAACAGACTTCCGGTCGCGCACAACCTTTGTCCAGTTAAAATTAGTGAACGCAAAGACAGCCATACAACGCCGTTACGAAACACTTTCTACATCCAAGCCTACTGATAATGAGCGGACCCCTGGAATATCTTCTGATCCTCTGCAGGATTTTGTCACCCCAGAGGCCTCCCACATAGTTGATTTAGATGTCTCAGAGGATGTAGCTCAGGGTGAGATAAAGCAAATGGTACAAAACCATTGCTCGGTGGCAGAAATGCTAAAACTGGAGGTTATGGATACCCATGACCCCAAGCGACTTTGGGAGATAAGTAGTTGTCCTGAGAAGAAACCCGGGACTTGTTCGCCTACATCCGAGTTTCCACTCGGTTGTACAGATCATACCAATGGACCAGGAGGGCAAGTCGCAGAGGCATCATTCTCAAAGACGATAAACGCAGCAAGCTGCGCCTTGCCACCCGAAGTACCCCAATTTGGTCGGCGAGCATCTAATATGTCACCTGTCTGGACCCGATACACGCCGGCTCCTCCAACTAAACGTCCTCGCGAGCAAAATTCACCATACTGCTCGCCTGCAACGGCCATACCATACACTTCTGCGTCAGAAACAGCCAAGCCGGAAGCCGCACTGCACACGGGTACCAAAGGAAGAAATACTACGTTTAGTACTATTGCATTTAACGTTCCTGATGACACATCCTTGGAAGTGTTCAGGAGCTGGATTCTTGAGGTCAATGGAATCCAAAGAAACCCACTAGAGGTTGTGCGACTGAACAAAAGAATAAGTAAATTCGCGGCACCACTCGAATTAAGTACTAGGGACGAATCAACTCTCCGAAGTATAATGACAAGTTGTGAAGAGCTTCGTAATAGAGCAGAGCTGAAACAGCTATATTTTGGGCCACTGAGGGTGAACCGACGTGGGGGCCCATCACACTTCGAGCCTGGAGATCGGGTTTCTCACACCCATAGTGACCAACGGGTTTTCATTCTATTCTCGTCACAGCAGCCACACACACGTGAGCTTGAACCAAAATTTCCACCTGAAGTGACGATGGCACCCAGCGCCAAACGGCCCCGCGTAAGGATGACTCCGAAAAAGTCACCGAAGGCAGCTACCCAAACCTCACACACTCATGAAACAGCAAAGTGTGAGGCATCCCCCAGCCGACATCCGAAGGGGGTATTTGGCCGTATACTACCCAGGCACATAACGTACCCGAGGATCTTTCTTTGGATGCATTTACGAGAGCTATCCTTGCAGTATTTGGTTTAGCAACACGTTCGGTACTTGTTGAGAGACTACCTAAAAGAAGCAGTAAATTCCCTGCACCGATTAAAATATATTTTAAGGATGAAACAACTTTAAATACCGTCGTAACAAACTTTGAACAACTACGCAGTGCAACCATGATGGATCAACTTTTTCTCAAACCGCGAAAGCTAGCGGTAATGAAAATAGCCCGCGGTAACAGGGAAACAATCACACGTCCCATATCAACACACCGGACTTCCGCAGCTAGTACATCACCCAATATTATTCAAGGTTCTTCTCACCATGTTCCAGACAGTCCGGACTCTGGAATACCTACCTTATCCCACCGGTGGTTACCGCCACAACAACTACCTGAGCGGGCAAATTCCCTTCTTTCTACACCACATCACGCGCCTTTTTTTATCCCAGGTAGGGATGAGCCGCGACAAGCTCATCCCGACACCCAATACGTCACCAACGAAAAGCACGCACTTACTTCTTTTGGCCCAGTTCCTACAGCTTCTACAGATGGCCCAGTAGCTCTTCGTGCTCCCTTTATGTCATCCATAAAACTGGGAGACACTGGCCAACTTTTCTCCATTACACTCATAAATGCCAGGTCGCTGAACAACAGATGCATATTCTACGCCCTTTGGCTATTCTTGCTGCGCCTGATGCAATACTAGTCACCGAAACATGGTTTGGTGCCCTTACGTTCGATGATTCCTTTTTCATTCAAGGCTACCAGCTGTATACACATTCGCGTACACACAAACGAGGTGGAGGGTGTGCCATTTAGCTGCAGCAAAATTTCTCTGCTAATATCGAAGTCCTAGATAACACCGAAATATTGGACTCTATATGGATAACGGTTCATGCCATGGGATCCAAGTTACTACTTGGATGCATTTACAGGGCTCCTGATCCATCACCTGTGAGTGACAAAGCGCTAATAACTACTTTTGAGCTAGCTGCGAGCCATCCATGTGCATGCAAGCTTGTGGCGGGCGACTTCAAGCTTCCTGAAATCCAGTGGTTTCCACCCACTGCCCCAGCGAAGTATAGTGGGCTATTAGCCTGCATCAACTTGGGAGGATGTGTGCAGCATGTATCAACGCCGACCAGGTCTAGACACCTGTTAGACCTGATATTTACACTGGGTATATCCAATATACGTGCATCTGTAGGCCTAGAGTTTCCGGGGAGCGACCGCAGCGTGGTATACTGCTCGCTGTTTGCAAACATCCCGGCAATCTGTACGAGTAGATCAGAGGCCATTGAGGTATACCGGCCGATAAGCTCCATAGACTGGCCCACATTTGCCACGATTATTCGAGCAAGCAACTGGGAACAGTTCTTTCTGTCCGACTCCCTGGAGCGATCGTCCGCAATATTTTATGGCGAACTGCATTATTGTCTAAACCTATTGGCTCCATTTACTCCTTTAAATAAAAGTTCAGGAAAAATTAGGAGGCAAACTAAGCTGCATGCAAGGTTGAGGCAACTACGACGTTCCTACTACAAGACGTTCAACTTTGCGCATGTGCTGAGAGACAACGAGATTGCGAGCCCGCTATCGTCCAGGTCTGTATTGATTAAAACATCCCAAGAAAGAGGAGCCATGGCCAGTACAAACAAAGCCAAGCACCTCAGCTGGCTGCTGCGTTCTCGCACTCCTCATTATGGAGCAAAGAGCACTTCCATACGCGTCGGCCCTTGCAAAGCTAGTGAAGATCCACGGACTGTATGTGAGATGTTCAACCCTTACTTCAAAGAGTCCCAGTGTGAATAACTGTTCCCGGTCACTACTGAACTGGATGTGTCCACAAACCAGCTGCTCTCCACGGTTCAGTTCGATCTAAAAGGCATCCGTTCCGCTATCAAAACCATAAAACCATCCACCCAACTTGGTCCTGATGGAATTCCACCCATACTACTTAAGAATGGGGGCGGTGACCTTTCCATACTCCTCTTGAAACTCTTCACACTCTCTATGAAGAAGGGCCAATACCCATTGGTTTGGAAGCACTCTATCATCACACCGCGCCATAAAGGTGGCTCCGTACAGGAAGTCAGCAACTACCGACTCATAAAACACACATCTATTCTCTCACGTGTGATGGGGAAATCGGTTAAGCGTGCGCTTATGGCCTGCTTGAATGCAGGAGGCCACGTTAGCAGGTCACAGCATGGTTTTCTAAGCGCACGATCCTGCGCAACCTGCCAGCTTGATTTTCTTAACCTTTTCATTGACGCGATTGATTCAGGTCTGACGATTATTACGCTATACCTCGATATGCAAAAGGCGTTCGATAGGGTCCCCCATAAACGCCTATTACATAAGCTCAAGGCTTACGGTGTAGTCACCCCTCTGCTTGACTGGCTTAAATCCTACCTAACCGGGCATACGCAGTCCGTGAAGGTAGCACACTTTGAGTCCATCCCTGTAACAGTTTCCAGCGGTGTTGTGCAAGGCAGCGTGCTTGGACCAACCCTGTTTTTGATTTATGTGAACGACATCTGTAGCAGCCTGCGCCATGGTCGCCCATTCCTCTTTGCCGACGATATAAAGGTCGTATATGTCTTCCCACCAAGCGCTAAAGTATCCGCACTACAAGAGATCCGTGAAGACCTGAAGACCTTAGAGTCGTGGT